GTGGCCATCCGGGAGGCATACGAGGCCGGGCTGCTGGGGGGGGATGCCTGCGGCTCAGGGTACGCCTTCGACGTCTTTGTGGTGAGGGGTGCCGGAGCCTACATCTGCGGGGAGGAGACGGCGCTGATCGAGTCCATCGAGGGCAAGCAGGGCAAGCCACGCCTGAAGCCCCCCTTCCCCGCCGACGTGGGTACGTCCCTGCCCCTACGTGCTTTGCTCCTGCCCCACCACAATCGGCCTGCGTGGCTCTTGGCAGCATGAGCCCTAATTTCATCTCAAATGAGGCCGCTCAAGAGCGGGACAAAACGGTGGCAACCGGACAAAAGCAGTTGTCCCCAGGCCACCATCCTGCTGCAGACAGAGCCTGGCTGTTGAGAGCTCCCGCTGCTTCCAGGTGTCTTCGGTTGCCCCACCACGGTCGCCAACGGGCGGGGGCCGTGGCCCCCACCATCTGTCGGCGGGGGGGCGCCTGGTTCGCCGGCTTTGGGCGGGAGCGCAACTCAGGGACGAAGCTCTTCAACATCTCGGGTCACGTCAACAACCCCTGCACTGTGGAGGAGGAGATGTCGGTGCCGCTAAAGGAACTCATCGAGAAGCACGCTGGTAAGTGCTGCAGGCCACCCCACCGAGCTGCGCTGGGCTGGTGCTGGGTGTCCTGTCCCCCCCTTTCTGGCAGGAGGTGTCCGTGGGGGCTGGGACAACCTGCTGGCCGTCATTCCGGGGGGCTCCTCCACGCCACTGCTCCCCAAGTCAGTGTGTGAGACTGTGCTGATGGACTTCGATTCCCTGGTGCAGGCGCAGAGCGGGCTCGGCACAGCTGCCGTCATCGTCATGGACAAATCGGTAAGGGAGGGGCCCCCTCCACGGCCCCGCTGTGCCACAGCAGGGCCCTCACCCTCCCCTCCCTCCCCAGACCGACATCATTAAAGCCATTGCTCGCCTCATCGAGTTTTACAAGCACGAGAGCTGCGGGCAGTGCACCCCGTGCCGGGAAGGTGAGTGGGGGGCCGGGGTGGGCCCGGGGGCCACACCGCAGGCCCCTCACAGCCTTCCCCTCTCCACAGGTGTCGACTGGATGAACAAGGTCATGGCGCGGTTCGTGCAGGGCAACGCACAGGTGGCCGAGATCGATGCGCTGTGGGAGATCAGCAAGCAGATCGAGGGCCACACCATCTGCGCCCTGGGTGATGGCGCAGCCTGGCCCGTGCAGGTGGGGGAGGTTTGGGGCCAGGAGCAGGGTCTGGGGGGGCCGGCAGCCTTCCCCCTGCCCTGCTAACTCCACCCTATTTGCGCAGGGTCTCATCCGCCACTTCCGACCCGAGCTGGAGGAGAGGATGCGGCGCTACGGGGAGGCTAAAGCCCGAGTAGCATCGGCATAAGGAGCTGGCAATGGAGCAAGGACTGCTGGCCACGGTGGCCCTACCCTTTCCTGCCCCTGGGGGCTTCTTTGGGGCAAGGGGATTCTCACTGCAGTTGGGGGTCCTCAATAAACACACCGTGCTCACGGGCTCCTCTGCTGGAGTGGGGCAGGGTAGTCTGTGGGCATAGAATGGGGGGAAGAGACTGCTGGAGTGCTCTGGGTCCTGCCTCCTCTGGAGCAGAGGATCACACAGCCGGGTCTGGCTACCCCCAGACCAGAGATCCTGGCTTTCCGTGAGGCTCTGCACCCCTCCATGGGGACCCCATGGTCCCCATCACTGCTGTGGTAGCACCAGGCGGCTCGTGCCTGTACTAGTGCCAGGAGACAGCTGTTGTTGCCCTCACCCCCGTGGTGCTGGTGCTGAGGGCCAGCCATGCGGCACGACTTGGACACCATGGCATAAGTAGTTCAAAACACAGCTTTTTACTAAATCAGTGTGTTATGTCAGCCATGGGCTGTGGTACCGGCGGGGGTCAGTGCGGTTTCCCTGCGGC